AAATCGGTCAAACCGTTCTTTAGTTATAGCGAATTTAATCAAAATTATTTTTTTTCTAACTAGGGGCCAGACTTCCAGTCGGTAGATACGTGGAGTCATTTAAATGGTAGGTTAGGCAAACACTTAAATAATAGTATTTTAATATCAAATTATTTTGCATGAATATTTTAGTTATACGTAAATATGCAATTTTTATTATAATTCCTCGTGGAAAATATATTGAATACTTATATATCTTGAGCCAGTGTACCATATGTACATATAAATAGAAAATTCGTGCAAAATAATTGAATATTAAAATAGTATTATTTAAGTATTTGCCGAACCTATCCTTTGATATCGACTACTTCCGCTGACTGAATGAGAGTCATTCAGCTTGGGCATACAGCATATCAATCCTATTATTCCACGTGGAAAATAACCATGATGCAAATATACCCACTTCATAGGCATGCTGGAGGGTTTGTAAGCCTCACTAACGACAATGCCTCCATGAAAGTACTAACTCTCATTGAGATCAGAGCATCATGGTTATTTTCCACGTGGAATAATAGGATTGATATGTAGTATGCGCAAGTCGAATGACTCTCATTCTATCAGCTGAGGGAGTCCATATCAAAGGATAGGTTAGGCAAACACTTAAATAATACTATTTTAATATCAAATGCCATCAATTTTGCATGATTATTCTATGTATATGTTGTATATATGGAAAACTAGCAGCTTCCGATATGGAAATAGCCAACGTTCCACATTGGAGCACCAGACTCATCCGCGAGTCCATCGAAATAGAGAAGAACGGTACCTTCAACAAGAGAGATGACCTGCACTTGTCAGCCACTTGGCAAACGGTCCTACACCGTCCCCGATCCGGAGCAGCCTTCCTGAGGGAGGGGATTTTGGGCAGACTATAGAGTTTGGGGCACCTGCTTGATTTTTCCATGGGGATTAAGGTTTTCTTGATCTCGGGGCCTATTGGAGATGCCTCTATTATCGATTTGGTGGTTTTTTTCCAGGTAAGTTGTATGGTTTTTTGCTGCTAAAAAAAATTAAAAGTCGTATAAACGATGAAAATATTTTATTTCGGTGGTATCTTCGAAGATTTCGAACGATTATCGTTCTTCTTCAGGCAGGACTTAGGAACATTCAGATATAACAAAAACACAGATAAAAAATATATATAATTACCGTCGGTGTAGGAGCATCGAGAGTGAAGAGAGTATTGTTTCAGAGTATTTCTTCAAAAAGATTCCGTTTACGAAAAATTCAAATGTAAAAAAAACTTGAAGAGTAAATTGAAAAATCCAAAAAATTAAAATGGCATTTTTCTATTCATCGTAAATCTCGTTTTTCAAAGTGTTTAAAAATAAATGTTAAAAATTAACGACAAAACAAATTACCAAACCTATAGAGAAAGAACCATAATAACTAAATATAAGAAATCAAAAAAGAAAGAAAATTTTTAAACTTACAATTAACACGTTAAAATTTCCTTTAAAATTAAATAACTTGAGTCAAAATGATGAGGGATGAAATTGGACTGAAGGTCATAAGGAACGTTCGCCAGATGATAAAGGTGAAAGAGTGAGGGAAAACGAGTGGGAATAAGAACGTCAACATAAAATCTTTCCATACTAAATTAATTCTTCGCATCATTAAAAATCTGAAACATAATATTAAAATAGAAAATCGTATTGTTACCATGGGAGACAAAAATGCAGGCCTCGTTGAGTTGGATAAAGAGTCATACATAAAAAAGACATTAACTTTTTTCAAAGAAAATAAAATTAAGAATAATTTTATCTTTGTTTGTTTTTTTATTTATCTTTATCTCTCTAGCTCGACCTCTAGCTCTTCCAGGGATGCGTTCTTCTTCCGAAAGGTTTTCTTCTTAGAAGAAACAACATATGCTTGTATAAAGCTAGATCTACACGATACGCGAACTGGTTCGCCACTTCATTGAAGTATCTCTAGCCAAGTACCCCTACCTCAAGAACCTCTATCTCTATCTCAAGTACCTCTATCACTACCTCAAGTATCTCTATCTGAAGTACCTCCACCTCAAGTACTATAATAAATGTTTCAATATTTTATTTAGGATGGACTTTAATGGAAATCCTCTACTCTCCGCTCAAGCTCGACCTTTTAATATATTTTGTTTCCGTGCCTTTTAACCCCTTATTACTATATTATTTCAAAATATTAATAAAAGATAAAGCTTGTTTACAATTAAAGACCAATAATTTTAGGTTTAATAACTAGTTTTAAATAATAATTATAGATATTTAAAGCAAATAAACTAAAATAAACTCCGCCTGCGACGTTAAGCCCGCCTTTACCAACTTTTTTCGTAGAAACTGGTGGAAACAACCTGTCAGTTATCTCGGGATTTCCCCAAGTACTTAACTTAAAACCAGATAGAACAACTCTTAAAATTGATCAAAGTATTGAAAAAATTTCTCTAAAAATTAATATTATTTTTTAATGAAAATAAACTGGTAGAAACAACCGGTTTTTACGGAAAACGTATAATGTTTTCATACAATAAAATTTTATTTATTAATTAAAAAAGAAATATTAAACAATTTTTATTATTAGTATAAGAAAATATAAGAGGCGGAATATAAATCAAAAATAGTGCTGCCATCTCTTAATCATATCCATTATTATTATAAAATCCAACAGCGCCCCCATAGCGGACAAATCCAAAAATAACACTTTACGCGTTACCAATTTTTACGTAGCGGTTAGCAGTCTGGTATAAAATAGTCAATGCTGGTATTTAACCGTTGTGATAATGTATTAAAATAAAAACTACATATATATCTCGTTTTTCATTTATTGTACTATTTATTTTTGAATATATATTTTAAATTGTCTTCACACAATAATAGTTGGCAACACTGGTTAAATATCACGTTGATTTTGATAGTTACTGTCAATTTGTAAATGTTTGAATCTTAACCGTCATATATGTTATTATTAGTTAAAAGTTTTTAGTTGTAAGAATTTATTGTTTGAATTTGTAAGAAATGGATCGTTCGCCAACCTTTCATCAGTCAGTGGTCAACAGTGGTTCTAGACAATCCCGAATTCCTGTAAAGTAAGTTTACACCATTCTACTAAAAAAATCAAGTATATCATTCTCAAATTATTGCAGAGATAGTCAAAGGAAAAGTCGATTTAGTCGTAGTTCAAGCAACGCAATACGAAGGGTTCCCTCATCTTCCCATCTCGCGGTTCCTCAAAATTACCGAAACGTTCGATCAAAAAGCTGTGTTAATTTGCAAGATTTATGTGCAACACCGCTTACGTCATGTATGTTGTTATAAAAAGATTTTTTGTGTCATAATACGGTTTTATTATTTGTTTTAGGTTCATCATCCAGTATAAGAACACCTCTAAGTAGTGGTTCAAAGTATTCAGTAATTAATACAGAATTTTTAACCTCTCAATTTTCAAGGGTTAAAAAATATTTTAGAAATAAAGACCCTACCATACAGACTTTAAAACCTCTCACAATGGCCGTATACGTACAAACCATGAAAATACTATGGAATGAAATTGATCCCAGAATAGAAATAGATCCGAAAAAAATCGATGCTATTGGTGAATATCTAAAACTATTCAAGTTCCCTTCGCAGATAAAAATGTCCGTTTTAAAGGCTCCAACAGTACCTCATAATTTCCAGTATATTTTATCCATTTGGGTTTGGCTTTTGGATGAAATTGAGGCAATACATAAGATTTTAGATGCAGAGCAATCTAATAAACATAGAATAGGTTTTAAGTTTTTCATGGGTCGTTTTAAAGACATGTCTGATAAGAATGGTGGATCAGAAAAGATTACTGAAACATTTCGCCAAAGCTGTAAAGAATACCTTTACAAGGAAAACAAGTTAAGAATGCAAAGTTACGAAGAATGCCAACAAATCGAAAAGAAAGTACGACGAGATCTACAAGAAGCCACTGAGAAAAATGTTACCCTTAAAACACGTTTAAATGAGATACAAGCAAAGAACAGGGAAATAGAATTACGAAACACTGTAGCCATTAATGAACGCGATCGACTTGAAAGGGATGAGGAAGTGTTACAAAATAAATACCTTAATAGTCTTGAGGAAGAAAAGCAACTGAAGAAAGCACTAAATGATCAACCATGTTCTTTGGAGGAATGGAAAAAAATTGTTGAAGAACATACTTTATTATCTTTTGAACTTGAATTAAAAAGTAAGCAAGAAAATGAAAATAAAGAGCAATCTTCACAAATCGATATGGAATTAATGGATGTTAAATGTAAAATAATTAATGTGATTGAAAATATAAATAGTACTATTATACGCCATTTAAAGTATTTACCGAAAATGCAGGAGTTTTTAATTCCTCAGAAAGGACATTTGCAAGAAAATATGTCGCAGGTAAAGAAATTTTTCATATCTAATCCACACCTTTTTTACAAATTTTATGTGGTTTAAAATGAAATACCCATTAAATTTGCAGTTGTATATTTGAAATTTAGTTTTATATAAAATATGATGTAGGTAAAAGTAAAAACTTTTTGAGAAATACTAAAATGTTTAATTCAATTCAAGCAAACATGTTTCGAAACTAATGTTTTATCTTCAGTACCTAAATTTAAGAAAAAATACAAGAATTATAGAAATTTAAGAAAGAATTTAAGAATAAATTTAAGATTTAGGTACTGAAGATGAAACATTAGTTTTGAAACATGTTTGAATTAAACATTTTAGTATTTCTCAAAAAGTTTTTACTTTTACCTACATCATATTTTATTATATTAGAGAAATATGGAGTATTTCATCCCATTTATAGTTTTATATAGATCAATATTTACATTTTTATGTATTTTTGCATCCGCCAATAACATTGGTTCAACAATGTTCAGCACTTCTTAAATGATGTACACACACTGAGCAAGTTCAGAAGCAAAAGTTCATATAATTTGTCTGTTTTTGTTCATTCTTGAAATTCATTGATTATTTTATTGTGTTATCTTTAAAGGGTTTATTAATAGGTAGGTTGTAGTATGGATCAGAGACCTGCATGAATGGTTTCGTTCGCTTGAATGAAACATTCACAGATAAACAAACAGCACTAAGCCATCAACACTGCACTGCAATGTAGTATGCTACAGTGTTGTACTGCAACATCAAGCAGTAGGCGTCTCTTTCAAGTTTAACGTAATGTAGCGAATAGTTAAAAGTATTCGCAAATCATTCAGAATGATTAATTGCCTCACATACATGGCAATGCTTGTGTATACAGTGCGTTTCAAAAGTAACGGATAAATTCGATAAAATCATTACAAACAATTTATGAAAAAATCGCTGAAACGGGTCTAAAGATTGAAACTTTTTGCAATTTTTTGGTATATATTTTAAATTTTTTCCGTCATTTTTTAACGAGTTATGACGTCATCGAAGTTTTTTTTTAAATGGAACACCCCATTTTTATATCGGAATTTGAAAGAGGATTTATTTCTGAATTATGTAGAATAAATATTAATATCGGTTACATAAAAAAATTTTTGAGAAAAATTAATTTAAAGTTTCATTATTTCCCATTCATTTGGTATAGAAAATAGCAGTAGCAGTGGTTAACCATGGCAACCAATTGTTTTGATTTGACATTTCCAAGTGTCAAGTTCTCCTTGTTGATATTTAGACACCTCATTTAAGTCGTTCAGCATTAGTTTAATCTCTCCAAGGCTATCCGAAATAAGAACTATATCGGCCGCGTAGCGCAAATTACTTAAACATTTGCAATCAATGTTTATGCCTTTTTGGGTCAAATCCAGTTGTTTAAATGCACTCTGAGGATTGTGATGAACAATTTGGGTCCTACAGTGTATCGCCTTGTTTTACTCACGATGAGTACTTTACTACTTCTACTCTCTTGAGTACTTTCATGCAATTTTACCGTCATTGTAGCATTCTTGTAGATGTTATAAATAAGTTTGGTATATCGATAATCGACTCTGCATTCTTGAAATGCTTGCAAAACTGCCATCAACTCAATTTAAATTAAATTTTATAAATACCTCTAAATACACCTCTTGGGTAAATACCCCCGAGTGTATATCGTAGGAAATTCAAACTTTGGAATGACTGGAAGTTAAATCTCTCACGATTTTGACGTCATTACATGTTCAGCTTTCTGATTCCAAGGTCTAAAATTGCCAGAAATGATCATAATGTGTCTAAAATTTCCAAAATTTGGCAAAAGTTTACAAAATAGGCTAAAATAATTTTAGACATTTTGACATATTAGACAGTATTAGAAACATTTTGATCATTTTAGGCAATTTTGGATACACTTTTAAATAAGTTTGGACAACCAAACTAAAACTAGAAGAAGCACTAGAAACTTTCGACTTTTAAAAAAGCGTTTGATGTTTCTGATGCCAAGTTAAGCGTTGAAGTGAAGTGTCGGAAAAGTCAAACGCTTTTTCAAAAGACACACATCTAAACTCGAAAGTTTCTAGGTTTAGTGTTTTTAATTTTAGACAATTTGAATCATTTTAGACAATTTTATAAAAGTTTAGATGAATTTGAACACATTTTTGCGATTTTAAACAATTACAGTACAACTATACATAATTTTAGATACTGTTTGAACATTATAGACCATTTTTTCACGTTTATGTTCACAGTTTTGGACAAATTTAGACAATGTTGTCAAAAAGCACGACACTACATGATTCACGGATCCATTGACGAATGAAAGAAGCATAGTAGCACTGAATCAATTAATATTTTTCGAAATGTGCGCCATTCGTTGCAGGTCTCGGAGTCGACAATACAGTAACTTAAGAAAGAACACCACAAAACATGATTCACAGTAACTATACTCTGTTTTTAAACCAGGAGGAGTATTTTAAATTTGTCACCAGATTGACCTTGTACGTGATTGGTTGAATGCGAGGAAGGTTCACACACAGGCAATTTTGAATTTTGATTTTGAATTTGAAGGTTAGGTAATTGATAATTCGACAGTTTCGTGTCATTATTGTATATTTTGTGTTCTTAAACCCTTTTTTATTATATTTTGAAATAAATACACTCATAACTTCAATGTTAATTTGTATGTATAGTGTTGACGGTAACAAACGAAAATAAATACAATAATAAGTAAATAAATAAATAATAATTATTAATTTAAATTTACCGCCAAAATATCTAGTGATATTTAGCTTTGTTCGTTGGGACTGCACTACTTGCACTATGCAGTTTAGTGCAGATGTTGTGTGTTCGTTGGGGATAGTGCAGTTTAGTGCAGTTGCACTCATACTGTTCGTTGGGCCAGGTGCAGTGCAATTTAGTGCAGCCGGTGCAAGTTAGTGCAGATTTTGTTGCACCTGCTTTCGATTAAGTTCAATAAGTGCAGTGTAACTAAAATGGCGGAATATTTGAAAACGTGTTTTGTAATAATTAATATTAA